GAACTGGAAAACACAGTGGAAAATATGTTCACTTAGACAGTCGTTTAAGGAGATTTCAGCATCATAGTAGGAAAAGGAACAAATGAGAGTATTTCAATGGCTGGTTTGAAATTGCAGAGCGAAACTAACGCGGCTAACGCGTTGTAGCGTTTTCTGAAAGTAACCGCTTCCGCTTCATGAACACCATGTTTGAAATAGCCTAGAAGTTGCAGTGAAAGTGGATAGATCCTGATGGAACAACCCTTAATCAAATCCAGTTCATGCTGACGGACGCAAGGCGCATAATAGCACATGTGCGTGATAGTGGAGAAAACATCGTCAGCCCGCAGGCAGATCGCAGATTACTCCGTTCTGCACTTACAGTCAATATCGCGAAAGAAGATCGAGTGGAAAGCACTCTGGAAAGACTGCCGACTATTGGGCAAACATTCGACCTGAAGCCTTCGCAGGCAAGCTTTTTTAGCTGAACTGATATGAGCGGAGACGTCGATGCAGACTACTAGCACGTCATTGGTACCATCGAAACTACCAGCCGGATAGCAGTGTCAGTGAGGAAACTGCTCTATCCTCTGACAAAGCAGCTGTTGACCAGAAGAGGCAGAATGAAGGGTGAAGGGCAACTGATCCATGAGTACTCTGCGTTGTGTAAAGAAATCCGCAAGAATATGCAGGAGGACCATGGCAAGAATAGGAGACGAAACTAACAGAGGCCGCGTGAAAGAACAGCATGAACGCCATGGAAAATGGCATACTTTTAAAAAAGCAAATCGAAAGATGCACGAGGTCTACAACAATCTTTACTTCTCAAGGATAGAGGTAAATCAGAAGCTGCTCCGGAACCCGGAAAGAGAGATCAAGATTAAATGATGACCTGGCAGATATGGCATAAAACCGAAATATTTAATGTCACTGTGAATGGCTCTGTTCAGTGCCCTTGCCCTCTGATTTACGGAGTACATCGGGCTGAAGGGAACGTCAAAAGCATGGAATAGCTCTTTTCGACGCTTGTTTAAGAAACGTGATGCTGAATATCTTCTGAACTGTTGAGTGAACACTCTCCTGTCACACATACAAGGTCGTTAATAAAGAACAGCGTTGCTTACCATATACCACATTTAAGTCGTAAAGCAGTTAACAGAGAGAAATACCAATTCACCCTCTGTTATGCATTCACCGATTTGAAAAAAGCGCTTTACTGAGCGCTTTGCAGGACTGCGGTATAAACCATGTCTTGATCGACTTGATAGAGAAACTGAACAGTGACACCACAAACCGACATCAAACTGTTCAAGAATCTTGTAGAACTAACAATAAAATATGAGTAAACCAAGGAGACTATCTCTCGTAAGTTTTTGGTGAGAATGCTGGAATTCTTTATCCGTCTGAGCTGAGACGTTCCGCAGTATGATCCATGGAGAACGGCCCACCCATCTGCTCTCCGCAGAAGACGTCATCGTGACTGCCAAAGACCCAGATGAACTTCTAACAAAGATTTACCAAGGAGTCACGCGCCATCGGCCTGGACATGGACATTTGTAAGACGAAATGGACGCAAACAATGTTTCATGGGACCATCTTCACAGACGGCAGAGAAATGGAAAATGTCTCTAACTACGTATTCCTCGGCTACGTAATAGACTCATAAGGCAACAACAACTGCGAGATCAGAATTACGAAGAAGGCGGCATGGGCAGATGTCAATCACATAAAAACATCTTTGCTTGAGAATGAACTCCCCGTGTCTACGAAGTAGGAACTCATCGATTTAGCCATCCTATTCGCCATGATTTATGGCGCGGAGTGTTGGTCTCTCATGCAGTCTGAGAAATGAAATTAGTATTTTCCTTCGAGACCATGATCTGGTTACAAGAGTTCATTGTTGGGCACGATTTTTGGATGTACTTACTGCTGTCTACAGGTCGAAAAGTCGATCGGTCAAGTCGCTCCTCTGAAGGACAACAAATGGACATCCCGAATTGCCCGTTGGATCTCAGCAACAGACTCTCACCGTTTCGTTCACCAGCACGCTGGGATGACCCGTTGATGAAGCTGTTTGATCATCGGTGTTAGCCAAGGGCGAAACACTGAGAAGAATGGAAGTTCGTCGAGTTGCGTCTGTGGCGCCGCCCTTTACGAGAACAAGTCGGATAGAAAATGACCTTGCGTAGTCCATTTCACACCGTCTAGTTATAAGTGACATGAGTCCTGTGTCTAAGCTTCAAACAATAAGAACGCTTTGATGTCGTATTTATAACATCGTTTCTCGATATAGTCACTCTTTCCTAATATGCGTATACTTACATGTTATTTTTTTAGGATAATCAAGAGCGAATAAAAGTGAACAAGACATTGCCATATTTGGTATCTAATGTTATCGAGTTGCTGGATTTGGATCCTCTTGGTCAGTATGATCAAGAGGGCGCCAACGTCGATCTAGACGCTGGTAAAACGAAATGCGCCGTCATTAAAACTTCTACGCGAGCCACGTACTTTCTGCCCGTCATCGGTTTGGTTGAACCGGCGCAGCTGAAACCGGGCGAACTCGTTGGAGTGAATAAAGATTCTTATTTGGTCCTAGAAAAATTACCGCCGGAATACGACAGTCGTGTGAAAGTAAAAAATTGCTAGTTATGATTTTCTGATTGAACTTTTGTGACAGTCTCTTAAGATTGAGTTCATTGTTGTACTCATGAAATTAAGTTGAGACCGATCTTTTGTGGATTAATTTTTAGGGTGTACAAAATTCTAATTTGCAGGCTATGGAAGTGGATGAAAGGCCATCAGAGCAGTACTCCGATATCGGAGGGTTGGACGACCAAATTCAAGAACTGATTGAAGCGGTGGTTTTGCCAATGACGCATAAAGAGCGCTTCATCAATCTGGGCATACAGCCATCGAAAGGAGTGCTGTTATACGGTCCTCCTGGTACCGGCAAAACGATGATGGCACGAGCTGTCGCTGCCCAGACCAAGAGTACTTTCTTGAAACTGGCCGGCCCGCAGTTGGTGCAGATGTTCATCGGGGACGGCGCGAAACTGGTGCGAGACGCCTTCGCTCTAGCAAAGGAGAAGGCACCAGCGATCATATTCATCGATGAACTGGACGCGGTGGGTAAGATGTGTATTTTCTGCTGCATGCCATTCTGTAAGCGTGAATCTCATTCCTTTTCAGAAGAATTTGAAAACCATGATATTTAGAAAATTCTTACTTGTTTTGCGTCTAGATTTTTAATTTAAGTTTGTTACTTTATCCTCATAGTTGTTTATTTGGGCAGTACATGCAGCTAGCTTAAGAATTGAATTGACAAGGTTGAAAAGTATGTTGTTTCTGTAGATTTTCCCGCTTAATCCGTCCAGCGTTTCCAAGCTTTCCAGTTTGTCTAGTCTAAGGGGTCGTCGTCCTCTGTACAGGTAAATCTAGATTTTATTTTCTAACACTGACGGGATAACAGCAAAACGTCGTACTTTTTCAGCTGTCTCCCTGTGATCAGCTAATTTCGTGACCCGTGAAACCTCTGAAATTTTATGAGTTAAATATCTCACAGTCAAGTAAAGTTCGATGATTCTGTCGATGGTAGAAGTTCATTCTTCCTAAATGGCTTTGTTTCTCTTTGACTACCAGTTGTACCTCTCGTGTCCACCAGGAAGTTCCTCTAGTTTTCTGACCTCTAGGCAGCAGGCCAACCCATTTAAATCCGCAGCATTCGGCGGCAGCCCTGAGTAAGCCGCTATTAAAGAGCTTTTACTCGGTTTCCACTTCTGCGATCTCGCCGGGATCTGTTCAAACCGTCGTGGGATGTTGTTTGCAAGTTTTGCCCACGTATGCGCGGAAAATAATGATTCAAGTCTGATTCTTTGAATGCATCTACCACTAGGTTTTCGCATGGCATTCCGTCTCTTACAACGTAGTGTGCCAACAACCAGGTTGTGATTGTTTGTCCGATTTGCGCTTCTCTTCACTCAAACATGCATTACAGAGAGTTATAAGTTAGATGATGCGACTGTCAAATCGATTCTGTGCGTAAGCTTGTCTGCGTCAGGTATACTGATGCATGTATCGATGCTTGAAGAGGGTTTTTATAATGGACAGTTCGTTGTTTGCACAAAATCGCAATAGCTTCTTGTCACTATTATTAAGTCGCTAGGACCTTTCTTTCCAATCACGCCTTTCCACATGTCAGTATCTGCTCCAACATAAACGCATTAAAATTGCCCATTAATGATGGTCTCCTTAATCGGCTCTCTCGTGTTATCAACAACTGAGTAGAATGACTTCCACCCGCGCGTGTTATGAATTCCAGAGCCCTGGCGCTTCGTTGATGAGAGTCCAACGAGTTAGTACCTTGCAGCCTCATTCATTATCTCTTCTTTCCCTCTCAGTGTGGATATATTCTAATTTCTGACTGTAAGCTCCCACTGGCGGTGTCGTTCAGATGTACCATAATGTCATCGCGCTGTTTGCATCCGCCGTTCAGAACGGGTGGCGACACCGTTTCTGATTGGCACATTCGTTGTCGTTTCGTCGATTTTTCTCACACATCATTTTGCTCCTGCGCCACAGGCTTTAAGAAGGCAGTGATTAGGTTCTGATCGCTGACTTTTCGCAGCTTTTCTCAGTCAATAAACAGACTGTACGGCACTTGGCAACACCTGCGACGTCCTAGGGTATAATATTCGATGACGGCGGTACTATGATGGAGAGGTGGCTAAGTTTTACGGAGACTTCGCCACGGTCTCAAACCCTCCTTCCTTATCCGGGTTTGGGATCTGCAACGGCGGAGTTAGATATTTGATTAATGTATTTAAAATAATCATTAATCTGAAGAATCTATGAACCTCTCAGAAAATTGTGCTGTCTCATTGCGATGAAGGTTAAACAAATCGATGAAGATTATCTATGTAATACGGTAAATTATTCAAATGTTAATAGATTTTTAACAGCCACCATCTTCTGCAGTGTTACTGCCCCGCTGGATAGCCCAATAGCACCTGAACTTCTTTCGAAAAAATATTTCGTTCCGTGATTGTCTCTAACTTTTGAGTGATTTCTTTGAGAACGATTGAATAGTTCTATGTCATCAGTATCATCTTGAATGGCATGTAGGGTGAAAATTGAACCCCGGTTTTCTCGGATAATTTCTTCATGGCGTGTTAATGAATAATAAGTAAGCATTGACTGTAATGAAGATTTAAACGTGATTTTTTTGAGTTTTAACCTGTCGATGCAAGCTTTGCGTATGGCTGTAAAACCGATCATAACAGTCCGTTGAACTGCATTCACTCGCTTTTTTAAACCTGCTTAACTGACGCATTTTGCTCTTTGTGATAACCTTTTCTCTGTTTTTATTTGGCTTCCATGTTAATGGTGTGTTTTTGAGGTACGAAGCGTTTCGACTCAGAGAAGGCAGGCGATCGGGAAGTTCAGCGTACAATGTTGGAGTTGCTGAATCAATTGGATGGCTTCCACCCGCATGAAAGCATCAAAGTGATAGCAGCGACAAATCGTGTCGACATCTTGGATCCGGCACTGCTTCGTAGCGGTCGTCTCGACCGCAAGATCGAGCTGCCGCTGCCGAACGAAATCGCACGTGCCAGAATAATGCAGATACATTCTCGGAAAATGAACGTACAGTACGTTAGTTGGTAGTTATGAGTGAACCGTACTGATGGAAGTGTTTAGCAAAGATGCAAATTTCGAAGAAATGGCGAGGTGCACAGACGATTTTAATGGCGCCCAGTGTAAAGCTGTTTGTGTGGAGGCGGTGAGCGCTTTTACTTCTTACTGTCTGCAGTCGAAACAGTACCACCCGTTCCATGTTATGTGTCTTCTAGCAGTAACCATTTGAGCAGTAGAAACATTTTTTTTATGAAACCCAGGATACTACTCTACTTGGTCGGTTTATAAAGTTGTACGCTTAGATGCCTCAGATGAATCTGTAGAAAGTTAGAAACATGGAAAGACTACCAAATCTCGCCGTAATATGCTTAAGCGAAGGGTTCTGGGCCACTTTACCGCTGCATTTCACCTTGACCTACCTGATAACTGTCAGTTCCGGATGTAAACAGTAGATCTTAGAACAAACGATATAGTTCAATTAATAGTGACCAATCAACTCTACTTTAAAACACAAAGATTATAAAATAAGTAATAGTATTGTTAGTATGTTGTTTCGTTGTGGCAGCATGTCTAATATTCTCAGACAAGTAATAGCCTGATGATGTTACGGTGAATATCGTAGCGAAAAATGTCATTAATGATGCCATTTTACTTTGCTTTTCTTTTTTTTGTATTCATAATAGATCGAGAATAATCCATTATGAAAGGAAGTACTTCACATAACGATTGTTAACCATTAATGATTTATTGCATCATAGTATATAATGGTTAAGGTTTCAATTTCTCGCCAAATCGTTACTTATTTCAAACAATGAAAACATCTCCGGCAGTGTTTCCTACTTTAATATCAAATGGAACAAAAAGTTTATTTCTTGCGCTTTAACTAAAAACATGCATCGAAACGACATGCTGTTTTGCTCAGCGAGCGTAGGATCTCCAAAAGTTTTAAGAATATTTCATACTGTTTGGAAATTATTTTTTCTTAAGTGAACACGGCACATGATCTGCAAACGTAGCTGAGATCCGTTGTCTGCAAATATTGGTCTTTTTTAACGTTGTAGTCTGCCTGAGGTTGAAGGCTATTTTGTTCGTACATTAGTTTATATGGTCGAAATATAGTGAAAGCGATTTATTAGCAGAACATAAAAGAACATAAATTATGTGATTAACTCAGAGACCGAAACAACTGAATTCAGCCTAAACACTGATATCTGGCTATTCCGTGAGAAGCTGATAGGCGAAATGGGGTGGTCATTAAAGACGATTTCTTGTCTCGTTTCTTCATGCTGTTACTCAGTTCTTTAAGGGGATGAAAATCGAGTGATCAGGCCGGGATTTGAATCATAAATACTTTTCGCTGAGTTCAAAAACTACCTGCCTAGTTAAAAGCAAAATGGCTATAAACAGCTGCAAAAATTGTTTACGCTTTAAAAATTGTTAATCTACGCTTTATGTCACAGTTATGATATAACTTTTATTCTAGGGTATGATTGCTTTGCGGCGTAATGCCACGCAGGTAACCCATGAAGACTTTATGGACGCAATTCTGGAAGTTCAGGCGAGAAAGAAATCTAACCTTAATTATTATGCTTAGATTTGTGTTCTGCTGGATGCTGAGGTTCTTTACGTTTAAATTTGTTCTGGAATTGGGGAAATTAAATAAGCTTTCTCTTGTTTTTTTGCTTTTGGATATCTGACTGTGTGCTTGCTTTATGAGATTGTTTATCATTTAGGGCACTGACTCCTGACAGAACATTTAGCTAGTAAAAGGTTTCTAGTATCTGCAGAAGACTGAAATGTGTAAGATTTTAAAATGTCTGACAGTTCTGAATAATTCACTTAGTTAAATTATGGTTAAATTAGTTTACCGTTTTACCTTATGTTGAAGAAAGTCAGGTCTGAAATGGGCGAGGACGCATTTCAGTCGTATAACTGGTGAATCGTACATCTAACTGCAAGTTTCGTAGGCATGTGAGATGAATATATCATCCCTGTGTACTATCTCAGTTTACACTCCCAGTTGTATACTGTTGCAGGTGCTAGATTAGTTTTGAAGTTCATTACGTTCAAATGCTCTTAGCTATCTTTAGGCTATTTTGACATGTCATTTCATCGTTCCAATGTCGGGTAGCATTAGTCGAGTACTGGCGCAAAATTGGCAGCAGCGCAGTCCGAATCTTAGAATGTTACCGCGTACAAGTAGGTATGCTCACCAATCACTCTGGTTATTGGTTAACGTATATTTTGGCCTCCATGAATGAATGTTCAGCTTCTTTATGCCGCTTGTTTTGCATTTTAATTGGGCAGTAGAATCCTTTGGAGAATGTTACAGTGGAGGATGTGAACCGCAGCACAACCGAAGTTGGAGTTAACGTAACTGTGCCGTTTTGGAAGTACTGGTATAAGCATTTTTACGTTTAGATTTGATAGATTTGCTTTATCGTAAGCCAACCCACTTCAACTACCTTTGCCGAGATCTTGTTTTTCCCTGCATTATTTTGGAATATAGTAACAGCACCTTTTCATATAGCTGGCATATGCCGCACAGGAGAAGGCCTCAAAGCAGAAACTAAGCACCTTTGCTCGTCTTTTTCCAATGACTGTTTTAAACAAGTCTTGTTTAACAGTGGACCGCTACAATGAAGCTTTAATTTTAAGTCATCTCAGAAAAGACTGTAATTTCCATACATTGCTTCGACATTATATCAAAGTTGGGATCCATGGTCTACGACCAATTTCAATTAGGGCGCTGAAATTTGGGAAGTAAAAAATTTCTTCTTGGCAGAAATCCTGGACGTAATATATAAGATATTGTAATAGGCGCAGTTGAATTTATGCAGGTAAGACTTACAGGCTTCTTAAGGTCGAAATTAAGGAACATCTCTTTGCAAAGTTCATTCTGAACGGTCAGGCATTGCATTTGACACCAGTCTAAAAGTACGTGTTTAGACTGATGTACATGTTTCAGTAATTGGCAGGGATAGCGTCAAGGTGGAATTTGTAGCAAAGTTGTCCGTTCATATTGTAACACAAACGTTATATGTCGCAGTACTGTCATCACTTGATATAGGCCAAAGTTTGGCGTAGTCGATATTTTGGTATGAATTCATCGACATCTCGGTCTTGGTGGCTTTCAGCTTTCACTCAGTTTTGAGCTGTTGACTTTTGTCATAAGTTACGGTGTTGATTTGGCTATCGCTTTATCGTGGTGTTACCGGTGTCGCAAAATGGCGTCGACCCTGAAGCAAAATTTTATTATTTGTAAAATCGTTTGGTTGTATTACGCATATATCAGGAAACCACACATGAACATCGCAGTATGTTTCCTCGCCGGAGTGGGTCATTTTACCCATAATTCCTCCAATAACAGATATCACGACGTGTTGGTCCTCTGGCGTAAAGGGACGGTCCAATATGCATGATGTATAACGACCTCAGAATAAAGGCTTATTAAGTGTGTATTCTAAATTTCTATTTTTGGTTTTGTCGTGTTTAATTCGTGATTTATCATTTTCTACTGGCCGCGAGTTTTTTTAAATCTGAGCAGGTTTCAGGAAAAAAGGTTTCCATCGCTCTTAAAAGTCGAGTCTTC